TAATTAATTATTTCTATTCTCTATGAAAAGTTTCAAAATACAAAAAAAAAAAAAAATTAGTCTTTCTCATATTTAAGAAATGATAAATTAATATTATTATATTTGTTAGAATATATCTGAGAATAAAAGTGAATGTTTTATCTCAAAAGTATACAAGTCAACATATATTTATCAGTATTTTAGTATCATTAGAAGATAATAAGAATGAAGCAAAGATCTTCTATAGAGAATTTTTTACTATAATCTTGATATCAAATATCAATTTTTTTCTAGGAATGATAAATTTACATTTAAAAGAAAAAAAGAATTGCTAAAATTAGAAGTAACTTAACAGGAAAAAGGGAATTACGATATTGAATTACAAGCCTACCGTAAGAATATAACATACTCCGTTTAATAATGATCTTTAATTCTAACCGAGAATTTTTTTTTTCTTCTCTTCTTATGTCCATTATCAAAACTATAGTTGAGATATATTTAGTGTTTAATCCATTGAAGGATTTCTTTCGTTAGTAAATGAACTTAAGCAATAACTGTCTCATTCGATCTTATTGTTTAACCTCAGACGAATCCGTACAACTAATTATAATAATAGTTGAGAAGTTCGATATACGATAGTTTTTACTAAAGATATATCTTCTTTGTTATTCGATAAACAACAATAAAAAGTATACAATAGAAGAAACCATCAGCTACGACATTATTATTATTACATGTAACTACTAGTAATGTCCATTTCAGAGTTAAATGGACGTGAACATTTTTTGAATAACTTTTGATAGGAACGAATTAGAGATCTCCGGTTTTCACCGTTGGAAAGAGCAGATGAAGACGCATCGAATTATATATAGAAAGATTTTTCTAACTACTTTCCTATAGGTTTTATATAAAACTTCAAGAAAAACAGCATGCTTCTCATGGTCATGATATCAACTTGTTGATTTTCAAGAGTGCTCTAGAATGACCAAAGGAAGAACTACAAAACTATATCACGACGCTGTTCCTAACTACTACCAGTATGATATGTAAACCATCGGAACACAATTTACCACCTCATTTTTTTTCAACAAAATAATCGAAAAATGTAAATTTTTGTCGTATTTTGATAGAAAAGCCAATTTTTTAACATATGAGAAAAAAGCAATTCTTTGAAAACTTTTGACTAAACCTATAGGGAAATAGTTTAAAAAAATCTTTATAGTTCGATGCGACTTCATCTGTTCTTTCCAACGGTGAAAATTGGAGATTTCTATCTCGTTCCTATCAAAAGTCATTCAAAAAATGCCCACGGCCATTTAACTCTGAAATGGCCATTAATAAATGTTGTACAGTTTTGACTCATATTTAACCTATTTTATTTCGTTGCTTTATTCTAAACAAAATTCTAAGTACGGGAATTTAACTAATTGATGTATGTTCTTATACAGAAGCATAACTCTTACAAAAAAAAATTGAATTTTTGTTTTGTGATTAATTTTAATGTTTATTATAACATTTACTTCAAATCTGCAATAGGTTTTTAGATTTAATCTTACTGCTAGTATATATGACTATAAGAAATCAAATATATAGATATTTTAGATATTCCAATCAAAACTATAAACAATAGAATGAAAAAAGAGAAATTTTGTTTTTAACAATTATAAAAAAGTTTACAAAATATATTTTGAAATGTAATGACAGAATCAAACAATAGTAAAAATCTCGAGTTCGAAATTAATCCGATGAGCTCTAATAAAGAATTTACTAATCGAAAAAAAAAACAAAATTCGATATCAAATTAGCCTTGTTTCTATTGTTATAATTTGATTATATTTGAAGTTTGTTAACTGTAGGAAAAATTCTCCAATTAATCGAAATTACCTTGATCAATAGTAATCACAAGGTTAGTTTATTTTGTATAATGAGATATGTAAAAGTATACTTCAATTCATACCTTGGTTAAAATTTAGATTTAGATAAGACTGAATTTTTCATTATTATAACGTATATATAAAATATACTTATTCTTAGTCTTATTCTCAGTTACATATAGAATCCATTTTGTTGAATAGTAAAAAGGTTTCATAGAAACGCAAAAAAAAAAATAATATGATCATTATATTTTTTTTTTCTACTAATAAAATATTTGATGTCTATTATTTTAACTTTTAGAATATAATCAAATTTATTTTATTTATTTACTTGATGAATAATATTCATCATTAATATGATTATTTATTTGAGTTGATCGTGTATATGTTTGATCAATAACATGTATAAGTCGATTAATATGTTCATTTTTTTCTTCAATTATTTTATCTAATTGTCGTTTAAATTCATTTTCAAGAAAATTATTTTGATTTTCAAGTATAAGATTTTTTTCTTGAAGATAATATACATCACGATGAGCATAATTTAGTTTTTCACGTATTTGCTAAATAAAAACAAAAAAAAACAATTCAAATGTAATCGATCTCTAGATCAAAAAGAAAAAAAATATCAACAAGATACTTATTACATATAAATAGAATAGCTGTCTGAGAAAGATAACTTACAAGTGTTTAAAGAATGCAATAACAATATGTAGAAATAAAATCTCATTCCCATACACATACTTCAGAATAACAGTACAACAAAAAATATATATATATATGTATTTCGAATACATAAAAACATATTAGTTATAACCCTTTTTTTTTGTTTAAGAAAATATGAATATGTTTTATGTAGCAGAAAAAAATCTAATCATATTTTGAATAAACAATAGTTAAATATGTATTAATAGAAATCTTTTTTTTTTGTAAATATTGAATAAATTATTGTGAATATTATTTATACAAACTTTTAATCCTTCAGAAAAATCTTTATCATCTATATTAAGATCTTGTAATAAATATCTAAAACGTTGTAAAATTGCAATCATTGTTTGTCCTTTTAACCATAATTTCATAATTATTCCACGTTCTTGTCCTTCATGTAAATGATAATCACGTTCAATTGCATTCATAACATCTTGATAAGAAAGAAGATTCTATAACAATAATATTTAAAAGTACATAATTTATAACAAGAAAAAAAATTCTATTATTTTCAAAAGACTTTATACTTTTAAATTAATAGATGCAGCAACCGCAACAAATTGACTTGTTTCTAATGAACGATTTAATCGTGAATCTTGATTCGATTGAGATAAAATTGGATTTTGTTGAATAATATTTTCCATTGTATTTGTATTTTTTTTTAAATTTATTTTTAATTCTTCATGATATTCATTTATAATCTATTATATAATAATAATAATAATAATAATAATAATTTTCTATTTCTTAATAAATAAATTTTTATACTTCTTGTGATGATGAATGTTGATTGTTAATAAGTTTTTCTTCGATCCAGTTATTCTATCTGTTTGTTTTATTAATTTAATATTATGATCATGATTATTCAAAACCTCAAAGAAAATAAATATAAACCAACCTTGATAATCACGAACATCTTACTTCATTCATTTTTCCTTTTTTTTTCTCTCTTTCTCTCGTCTTTTCTCTTGATAAATAAATCAAAACAACAAAAGAAATGATGTATGCATATGCAAACAAAAATTGAAACATACAGACAAGAAAACAAAGAAAGAATTTGAAAGAAATAAAAATTTATATACCTTTTGTTGTTGTTATTCGTTTGAATAATTTTTAATATATTGAAACTAAAATGAAGCAAATTATTGTATAATTAATGTTAAAAAAAAACACTTTAGATCAATTCTCTATATTGGCTTCCTTCATACAAAAACATCAATGAGAGAATTGTCAGTCGATACAAAACACTCCCTTCTTTTTTTTTTGTTGTATAGGGTGTGGGTGTGGAGTGTAGGTGTGGGTGGGTGTGGGTGTGGGTGTGTGGTGGCTGGGTGTGGGTGTGGGTGTGGGTGTGGGTGTGTGGGGTGTGGGTGTGTGGGGTGTGGGTGTGGGTGTGGGTGTCGGTGTCGGTGTGGGTGTGGGTGTGAATGTCTATGATTTACTCACACCCACCCCCACATCCACCCACACCCACATTCACCCACACCCACACCGACACCCACACCGACACCCACACCGACACCCACACCCACACCCACACCCACACCCACACCCACACCCACACCCACTCACACGCACACCCACTCACACGCACACACCCACACCCACATCCATACCCACACACCCACACACCCACACTCACACCCACACCCACACCCACA